AAGAGGGAGAGAGAAGTAGCGATGGTGGATGGCGGAAGGCGGGAGAAAGGCCGAAGGTGGGATGGTGGGAAGCGGCGGAAGAAGTCGGGAGGGGAAAGAGAGAGAGAGAGAGAGAGAGAGAGAGAACAAAATGAAATGAATCTACCACTAGAACATGGAAATATACATTGCGCACATGCGCGCAGCACACCAGACGTGCACAGCGCACCCAGATGCGCGGTGCGCCGGTGAGCGCACACCCTGGGTCCGTGCACAGCGCACAGTGCCGGTGCGCCGCAAGTATGAATTCAACTAAGGAATTGCCTCATGAAGAGATAAAGAAAAGGGGGGAAAAAAAGAAAACAATACAAAACAAAAAAGTTGAAAAACATGTCACTTTGTGACTTCAGAGTTGTGCCAAGATTTTTTGGAGTTTTTTTAACTTTTTTGAAGTTTTTTCCAAAATCCCTCCCCTCCCCTTTGCATACCTCACTGCCACAGATGCTCTTCCATGCTTTATCCCTCAATTGAGCCTTTGCACCATACCATACACATCGTCACATATCGTCCCTCCCTCCACTATGCAACATTCAACATGTATCTGGATGATGCTCCGAACTAGATACTTTCAGACTGATTGAACATTTTGATTGTCTTTGGACCATTACCTGATCCAGATAAATTTAAAATGTTGCGCAGTGGAGCGAAGCCATAAATTCAATAAGAGAGCGCACTTTACAAAACACGAACAACAAAAAAAATAGCAGGCAATTTGAATCGCACTGACAAGCCATTATCTGAACTTTTGCCTTTTTCTGTGCAGTTCTTTCTTTTCCTTTCTTACATTTGAGTTTTCTGGGGCCGGTTCCCAGCACGGCCTGCTCCCTGGGAATAGATTGGAGCACTGATCCCCCCCAAAAAAAACAAAGAAAAAACAAAACAAAAGTTACAAAACAAAAAAACGCTAGCTTTTTTTGTGGGCTCACCACATTGATGTAGCAGGTGAACATGAGCTGCACACATCCCTGTGCGCCGTAACAGCCCACTTGCATGCTGTGAAGAAGAGGCAGACTAAAAGGGGATGGGATAACGAGAGAAGAAAGATGGAATGAAGACAAGGCAAAAGAACAGAGAGGGAAAGCAGTGTGAAATGACGATGAAAGCAAAGGGAAGGATAAGAGAAGACTTAGGAGCCAGATCCATAAGGCCGTTTTTTTTTAAGGAAAAAAAAGGGAAAAGACTCAGGAGTCATTAGGTTGGTGATGACATGGAAGACCTACCGTCTTCCCCCAAATAGGACACACAGTTGTTATCGCTGCACCCCCCAAATACAGAAATAATGACTGGGCATTGTATTCGGGTGAAGACCTAGCTGCTGAGGACCAAACCACCAGCACAACAATTACCACCAACGACTGGCATTAAACCACCAGTACTTCCAAGCCTCTTTTTCCTAATTCCGATTTCTGCTGCGCACAAGTTTTGGCAAACCAGCGCAGGCACGAAACTGATATATTTCCGCTGGCGCTGCCAGCCATTTCACTTCAGGTCACGAGCCCCGAAGTCACGACGCACGTAGAGGCAGCATTGGAACAAAATAGCTAGAAGAAGTACTGGTGTTTTAAGCATGCCCACAAAACTCTTGTCCCCCGTGATATACGAACTAGCGAGAGGGTTAGATAGAGCAGAAAAATATATACATAGAGATTGAGGAAAGAATATAGAAAAAAAAAAAGGATGAAATGTTGGTTACAGGCTAACATGAAAGCAAGAACGGGCATCGGAGAAGACCATGCATTGATTATAACATCCATGGCCACAAAGTGGACATATGATGTCCAGACGCAGACGATGCACATAGTCAGGAAAACAGGAACGGTCCTCTGCGAACAGGGATGCGGAAACCCTGGCATTGTAGTGATTTTGGGAGAGACAGTGACTCCTGCAGCCAAGTGTCACAGTGTTTGTAGCTGTGCAGAGGAGAAGGCTGTAGAACATCAACACGTTCCCTTGCTGCGGTACAGGAGCAGAGAAGCAATCGACAGCATGAAAAAGAGTGTGCAGATATAGAAAAATAGTGGTGAAACCTTTGGATCTGAAAATGGTGCCCCAGAGCTGGAACCTTTGGAACCAGGAAGAGTCCAGCACAGGTGGAACCTTTGGAACCAGGAATAGTCAAGCAATGGCGGAACCTTTGGCACCAAAAGTATTGGCCCAAAGCTGACCAGGAGATGTTGAGCAAAGGAAAACCATCGGAACCAAAAACAGTAACCTAAAGATGGCACCTTCAAGAGCAGGAACAATTGAACACGTGGAACCTTTGGAGCCAAGAATGCTGTCCCAGAGCTAGCACCTTTGGGCAGAGGTGGAGCCTTTGGAACTAGGGACAGTTGACCACGGGTGGAACCTTTGGAACCAAGAATGCAGTCCCAGAGCTGGCACCTTTGGGCACACAGGTGGAACCTGTGGAACTAGGGACAGTTGACCACAGGTTGAACCTTTGGGACCAGGAACAGTTGAGCACAGGTGGAACCTTTGGAACCCCAGAGGTGGCATCTTTGGTACCAGCACCAGAAACACAAGCAGAACCCTTGGGACTGAAAATATTGTCCCAAAAATCGAACCTTTGGAGCGAGAACACAATTGAGCACAGGCGGAGTTTCTTGGAACCAAAATATTGCCCAAAAGGTGAAACTTTTCGGAACCAAGAAGAGTTACACGCTGGTGGAAACTTTGGAATCAAAACTTTGCCCCAAAGGTGAAATCTTTGGGACCAGGAACAGATGGTCACAGGTGGAATCTTTGGAACCAAAAATATTTGCCCAAAGGTCGAACCTTTTGAACCAGGAACAGTTGAAAATGAAAGGACCTTAAACCGCTAGTACCTCGCCCAGTGTTGGGAAATTAGGGAAAACTGACGGGCAGTTTTCCCAAACTCCTGAAAATTCGGACGTCGGGCCCGACGACAGCTGCCATTGATAAATCTGATCGGCGGCGGTCGTTTCGTTTCGGCCATCCGAAAAGGTCGGAGGCCCACCCGAGGCGTGCTATTTTACCACGCGGCAAAGGTACTAGTGGTTTAAACACCTAAAATATTCTCCCCAAGGTGGAACCTTCAGAACCAAAGATATTATCCCCAAAGATGGAACCTTTGATGCCAGAAGCAATTTAGCACAGGTGGAACCTGTTGGACCAAAAACACTGTCCAAAAGGTATTGTTAAACCACCAGTACACACCATACATCAGGCCGCAGGCCCTTCTCGGAGGCTGAAACTCCACCGCTGATGGTTTTTTATCAACGACGCGCCAGCCCCGTACTTTTCGGGCCAGGGGACAAGTTTCTTTTAGCAAGGCTGGGTCTGTTACTGGGCCATATGCAGGAACCGCCAGAAAAGGAAATAAGCAGGCATTTTTGGCAGAGGTTCTGAGGTTGTTTAAAGATTGTCAAGAAGAACTATCCACCCACTGAATGATATGCAGAAACTGCCAGAAAAGGAAATAAGTAACATTTTTCAAGGCTGGTTGCCAGGCCGCCCGGACACCTGGTCCTCGCCCATGGCAGCTCCCAGGCGGCCCGACCGGTTAGGTCCCCCGGTTGGCTACCCGGCGGCCCAAGCACATTTCGCAGCAGGGGGTCGTAAGGGCCCGAACCGCTTCGGGTGCCCTTCTGACCTGCCTGCCCTGCAGCTCCTACCTGCGGCAGAGAAAAACAAAAAGCGCCCGACCACCTCACAGCCCCTAACTGTGCGTGAATGCCTTCGGTGGTATTCAACATTCGAATTCGAACGCCCTTTCATGTAAAGGCATCCGTGCCAGGGTATGGGCATCACTCCACTACTCGCCAGATGTGCAAAACGAGAATGCATCTTCCCCTGGAACACGGAAAGATACCTCCATATTTCTTTACTTTTGTGCATGTGGTGAGTGGTGGAGCAAGGCCGTATGTTCGTCACGAGCCGCCAGTGTTATCTTGCTGCTGCTGTTCAAGGAGCTCTGCCACTGTTGCCATCGCACCTCGCTTTAATCTCAAAAGCCTTGTAGGTATTGAGGTCAGGAAGGGGGCGGAAAGAGTGATAGAGAGCCCCGGTAGTGGCCCTCCACCCCATCATCGCCGAAGTCTTCCCTCCCGAACACAACCCTCTTTCCTCCCCCCCCCCGTTCCCCCTAGTGAAAGTCTTTCTCCTCGTCGCGAAAGTCCTCTGGTCCCCCCCAATGTGAAAGTCTCCCCCCATCCCCTTCCCCCCTCATATAGTGACCCTCCTCTCCCCATCACCATTACATTCCACCCCCGCCATCGCCACTACCTTCCTCGTCCATGGCCATGATCTTTCCCCATCTCCTCCTCCCCTTCCTACACCTCCATATCTCCTCCTCCTACCACCTTGATATCACCTTGCCAAGTCCTTCACCGCCGTACATTGCCCTCCCCTCCCCATCGCGTGGCTTCGACGCCCACCTCGTCACTTCCCCGCCACCCCCAGACCACCAACCCCCCCAGCCGGTTAGTTTTAAATTTTAATTTTCTTCTTCTTCGTCTTCTTCGTGTTCTACAACTACCACCACCCCCCGTCACATCATGTTGTCCAGCACCATCATTGGCAATCCATCAGCAAGCTTCTTCTTCTTCTTCTTCTTCTTCTTCTTCTTCTTCCATTTCTTTGGTTCCTCTTCTTCTTCTAACAGATAGCTGCAACCCCAAAACCCACCCCCAATTTGCCCACCTCCCAAACCCCCCTCCCTCCGCCTTCCCAAATGAAAATGCGACATTCTATTATTTTATTGCGATCTTCTCGCATAGCGCAGCAATCCCCTGCACTCAAAAGAGGGAAATAAATAAAAATGACGTGGCCCGCCTGGTTTTGCCAGGGGTACTTCCCTTTGCTTGACCGGCCCGGTTCTGCCTGGCCGGGCGGCAGCCCAGCCTAGACATTTTTTACATCTTGCTAGGAAGTTGGCACCACAACAATCAACAGTATGTCATTCATCTCACAATCATAGATTCATAATCAAATAAAAACATATGAAGTTAATAAACTCGTAATGGTTAGGAGCTGATCCGACTACTACTGCGGAGCGTAGTCTACTGGGTTTCACGGGATCCAACTACTTTCCGAGTTTGCAGGTCTCCCTGTCCAGTTCGGCAGCTAGTGAAAACAAACGTGTACGTGGCAGGTGTTCCGCGACCCACGGCGCCATCTACGGCCTTAGTGAGCAATAGAACAAAATCATCTGCTGACGTAAAATTTCTGTTCTGCCGAACAAAGGCCTTGCCTTCGCATTTGTTTGTTTCTTGGAGATCCGTCAGCTCTGCGCCTCTTTCTTAAGAACTTGCCAAAATCAGAAGAAGCCAGCACCGTCCCCGCTCCTAACAAGAAGGCCGGCATTTTTTCTTTTCTTTTCAATATCCGGTGGGCTACGTGGCCCTCTCCTCTGTGTGACAGCACGTTCCTTTCCCCTTGGGACGCCGCCAAAATCGTAAAAGTCCCTCTATTGTCGCCCAAGTGGGATCCGAAATCACTTTTCCTTTCCTCAAGGGGCAGGCCCGCCCAAGCCGGTTCTTTTTGGTTCTTCCCAAAAAGAAGAGATGTCGGATCAGCCCCTTAGTCTTGCCGTGATCACCGATGACCCAACAAGTAGTTCACAAGGACAACAAAAGGAAGAGAAAACGGGTGGAGAAAACAGTGAAAGGAAAGTGCTAGGAGGGGTTCAACAGTTAAAGTACGATCTACGCCGCCACCAGTACCTCCGAGCTTCTTTTTACGATACACATTTTTGCCCACCCTTCACATTCTGAACCTGGCGCCACCAGCCATTTGGGTCCAGCGCACTGGGCCTTTCCACGACCATGTGATAACCAACAGGGACACATAGCATAGCCCGGGCGGGTACTGGCGGTTTAATCCACCACTGCCTTTCCTAGGCAATGTCGAGAATTGAGAATGTAACATTTTGGGCTCCACAGAGAAAGGGCTCCCCACACACCGATGGCTCGCAGGGCCAGCCAAAAGACAATAAAAGAAAAGAAAAGAAAAGAAAGAAAGAAAGAACGAAACAAAACAAAACGGTGCGCTGGCGCTTTGATGAACTTCGCGCACAGGGGGTATCCGCCTTAGCAAAAAGACGCTCAGAGGTGGTGCAGGTTTAAACAGAAGAAGAAAAAAATGTGGGAATTGATGTTAGATATCTACCTACCTCCATGATGCTCTCCTCGAGAGTTTGTGATGTCCCCGGTCCTCCCTTCATATCAAGAGCACTACGATTATCCACACCCTCATCCTCCTCTCCGTCAACCAAAGTTTTGTCCCTTGCACCTGAATACTTCTCAGAGGAGGGTGGAGGGACTTGCTGTCCCAACTCTGACGAGAGCTGCAAAATCCAGGTAGGAGTACCATTACTGATGCATTAGAAATTATAATTTAAATTTTTGAATTTGGAAGGGGGGAAAAATCACTAATTACCATACTTGTGGCGCATCCCGTGTGCGAGGTCGCGGCACATGCGGCGCAGAGCGCACTTGATGCAGCGCATCACCGAAATTTAAAAAAAATAATAATAATAAAAAAAATTGAAAGGACAGGGTGGGGTAGCCAAACATGCCCCTCGCTACCGAAAATCAAACTGCAAGAGGGAAAAAACTTTGGCCACCCCATACCCTAACACTCTGAGCACATGTGTGTGTGTGGGTGTGCATGTCCTAATCGTGTCCAGTCTCATTTCCGAAGGGCCCCTACGAATTAGCAAGTACCCCTCATGAAGCAGAGATGGACATTAGAGTTCTGGTTTGTCTCCGTGGGCCGAGAATATATAGTCTGGATTCGAATTCAGGTCTGTGCATCACAGTTCCGGGTCACTAATTCTTTGTTTTCTTTTTCTTTTCTTGGGAATGCATGCAGTGGGCCTAAGGGCCTCTACTCACCACATGCACAAAAGACAAAACATATGCCAACGTTCTAGCAGAAGATTCATTCTAATTCTGCACATTTTCAGTGGCTCCAGGGGCCTCTACTCACCACATGCACAAAAGAAAAAACATATGGTGGAGAATTATTCCACGTTCTAGCAGAAAACTCGTTCTAATTCTGCACATTTGGTTAGTAGTACTTAGTACTGCAGCCAAGCCCTGAGAATCACATGCAGAGACCAACAGGGCCTAGCGAAGTGAGCAACCCTTAACTGCTGAAACACAGACGTGAATATGAATCCCGAGTATATATTCAACCAGCTCGTGCTCCACTTCGTATTCACTGCTTGCCTCGATTTTGGTGGAGGGTCCTTGCTAAATTGCTGCGAGGACCCTTCAGATTACCGGCACTGGCCCTCTGATATGTCTGAAGGGGATCCTTTGTTCTCTCTCTCTCTCTCTCTCTCTCTCTCTCTCTCTCTCTCTCTCTCTCTCTCTCTCTTTGTGTGTGTGTGCGTGTGTGTGTGTGTGTGTGTGTGTGCGTGTGTGTGTGTGTGTGTGTGTGTGTGTGTGTACGGCGCATGGCGCACGCTCACCGCACGACGCACCGTAGAAGTGCACCGCAAGTATGCTAATTACTAGTAACATGCATCGTTAGGCCGGGGACCCATACCCGGAGAGTACACCATCCTTTTCTTTTTTTTGAAAAGCCCTCCTGTATGGCCACTATTCCGGTGGTGGTAAGAGAACCGCCAGAATTGAGGTTTTACCTATATCAGGCTGCTCCATCTATTGGTGGGGAGCGACACCTGCTGGAAACCGGGTCCAGCATCCCTTAGTCACATCATCTCAGTATATTGTTTTCTTGGGACTATGGCCATTTCAGTTCCTAGCCTGGAGCACCTTCTTTCCCTCGGGCTGCACTAATCCCCCATCCTCCTTGAAGAGCTCCTAGTTCCTACTGGCCTAGCCCCCACCTGTAAGATTGCCAACTGTGTTCTCCTATCCTATTTTTCATGATGCAGGATCTTTTACTTCTCTTCTTTTTTTTTTCCAGTGCAGGATTTTGCCCGCACTTGAAATTCCAAATCGGCGTGTGGCAGGGAGGTCGTGCCATTGGCCGGCCCCAAAATTCTGAACCACCGCATGGGTAGGCCCTCATAAGGGCCAATGTCGAAGTTCGGGGGCAAGGAACGACTCACCTCTGTACTCCCAGTCCCCGGTTAACCCCGGGGTTAACCGGCAGGTGCAGGTGGCCTAGCTGGGTAGAATAATGATGGTTTAATTAATGTGAGGAATGATCCCTCTGGGGCCTTTATCAGACATACAAGTGTTCTGGACTGCGGTCCCCAGCAAACCTTGTGCCCGCCCTAAGTGAAGGCGGGCCTAAATATTCACGAAAGGCCTACTCTGGACATTTTTCCGTATGTCGGGTATTCAGGCAGTTGCAGCACGCCAGTTGGTTACAGAGCAATGTGAGCATCTCCTGGGTCCTTCCAGAAGAAGCAGCAGCGACGTGCAGTTGAGCCCAGAGCTTGAGTGATTGCGCCCTGGGCACACGCAGTGTGGGGCCGACACATCATCCATCCGCCGCAGGCCAATCAGAAAGCAGCATTGTCGTCACACGGGCTCCGCGAGCCAATGAGAATGCAGCAAACACTTGGAGCCTGGAGGGCCGCCTGGGTTTGCCCAACTGTAAAGGGCCCAGGCCCGTAACAGTAAAGGAGGCCCTGGGTGCAGACATTGGGCCCGACCGGAAACTACTGGAAAGTCATCCAGCCAGGCCCACGCAGCCTACCACAGGCCGCACTTTCCATAAAGGAAAGTGCCCTGCCCAGGCAGAGGCAATCTGGCCTGAGCAGGCAATGCGGCCACGCTGCTGCTATGCCATGAACGGGTTTAGGCTGATCCCCTCAAGGGTCCACACAGGACAATTCTTACTACGGGATCTCTGAGCTCTCCTTGGTATGGTACCACCCTGGCGTTATTTAAATTTAAGATGTTGACGAATGAAAGTACGTGCATGTTACATGCCCAATTGGGCGATGTACATAATCAACCGAGGATCCACAATGTGATAAAAAGGACTGAATGGACAATGCAGTGCAAGTGGAATCTCAACAAGCAATGTGCATTCTGATACATACAAAATGGCGCCTTGTGGCGCAGCGGAAGACTTCGATACAGGTCCTGACCTCGCTACAGGAGATCAGGCTGGCTGACGTGGACGAACAAGGCATACGCTACTGACGTGTACCCCCATTGATGATGATGACTGGACGAACGTGCTGACCTGGCAGACTCGATGAGCTGCTGTGTTGGCCTGTCAGGGGTGACACGAGGCAGGCACGAACGTGCCTAAGTGGGAAGGTACACTTTGTCGACGAAGGCGGCACGGTTGGAAGACTGATGACTGTGGTGCTGAACGTCAGATCAAGTGTGTGATCACATCGGACTTCAGAAGACACAGCATCAGAAAAGGAAGACGCTAACTATTGATGCTCTGTTTGTTGGCGGACTTACTTGTTGTCGTGAGCTGTGTTGTGTGACTGTGTACTCACTTGTGTGCTGTTGATGATCACGCTAGCCTGGGTTGCGGTACCTGTACTAGTATAGGACGTCATCACGCAGAATAAACAGAACAGCAGTCATATTAGATAAGAGAAATTGAAATTATTTCCTTCTGTTCCATTTTATTGAAATCTCCTCAAGATTGTTTTAATTGTCTTCTTTTGCTTATTTGAGGTAGATCAACCTGGCCAATGAATTTTCTTGTTTTTGTCCTTCGAAAATGTCTCACTTCTGGAAAAATCTGCAGATGTCTATTCTGACAAGGTTTGTGACCACGTTTTTGTTTCCTATTCCAATCACGCTCTCTGTGGGCGATGGACCGTCTGAGATTAAGACTCGGACGCAGGCCGAAAATAGGAAACAAGAACTACTAGCTTTGTGGGACCAACTGCTGACCGAAATGCGTCTATCCGGACCGGATGCCGAACAACACATGCGTGACAGATTTGATTTGAAGACGGCAGAGGACCGTCTGAAGAAAGTTGTTACGGCTGTGGAGGTTGTGGCAGCTGGGACCGAGGTCTCCAAACTGGTTGCCCAGTGTCGACAGGCACTGGACCAGTTTGCACTAAAACAGTTGGAAGGAGTGATGGAACTGACTCGTAAAAGTGAGATTAAACCAGAAGTGACCGAGGCTACGATTGAAGCGAACATCCAGCAACTAGAAGAAACACCGGCCGCGGAAGAAAGAAAGAAAGAAGAGCTGGCAAGAAGGAGAGAACAAGAACAAAGGAGGGAACAGAAAGTTAGAGAAATTAGACAAGTGGTTGGGACAGAAACTGGGGAGCAGGTTGACATGTCGCATACGTTGTCTCATATTATGACTTACCTTACCTTTTTGGAAGAGAAAATTGACAAACAGCAAACTCAGTTAGATGAGATTGTTGTAGGATTAAGAACAGTCACAAACATTGTGAAAGGAAAGAACCAGGTAGAAGGTAAGAAAGAAGAAAGAGAAGAAAAAAGAGAAGAACAGAAAGATGTAAAACTGATGAGAGATGTCATCAAGCCTGATGTTCCTAAAGATCAGACGTCGACTAATTGGAATGGACCGCCGAGTCCACCTCCCTCTCCGCCTAATTCTCCTCATTCACAAACCTCCTTCCAAGTCTCCTTCTCCTCCGGACAAGACAAGTGCAGAAACGGAGGTGTGAAAGAAGAAGGAAAGAGTGAAAATGAAGTTGCCTTTTACTTTTGATAACAAGAAAAAGATGAGAGTCCTCTGTGGATTGCTGAAATCCAGACGTATGTAAGTACCGCTCCGGTCGAGATTGAGTCCCAAGTGGCGTTCCCCACCTCTTGCATGGGAGGTGAGGCCAAACAATGGGTGTTGGTCGAGGCCAACGCCGCGGGTTTTGAAGATATCGGTGAAGAACAGAAAGATGTAAAATTGATGGGAGATGCCATCAAGCCTGCTGTTCCTAAAGATCAGACGTCGACTAATGGGAATGGACCGCCGAGTCCACCTCCCTCTCCGCCTAATTTTCCTCATTCTACTCCTCCTTCCAAGTCTCCTTCTCCTCTGGACAAGACAAGTGCAGAAACGGAGGTGCCAAAGAAGAAGGAAAGAGTGAAAATGAAGTTGCCTTTTACTTTTAATAACAAGAAAGATGAGAGTCTGCCTCTGTGAATTGCTGAAATCCAGACGTATGTAAGTACCGCTCCGGTCGAGACTGAGTCCCAAGTGGCGTTCACCACCTCTTGCATGGGAGGTGAGGCCAAACAATGGGTGTTGGTCGAGGCCAACGCCGCGGGTTTTGAAGATATCGGTGAATGGGCAAAGACAATGACCCTGAAACAGTTTTTGGCCAAAATCAAGGGCCGTTTCTTAGACGAGACGACGGCGGACAAGGCGTTTGATCAATTAACTACGATTGGTCAAAAGCATTGGACG